GCTTCGATAAGACAATCAAAGAAGGAGACAGATCTGCCTCTGGGGTTGCTGCATCTCCTGCAGCAGCAGCCAGAAGACTTCTTGCTGCTCTCCTGCTTGTTCGTTGCTGCTGCGGCACCAATCATCTGCTGCTGCTGCTGCAGAAGCTGCAGCAGCAGCACCTGCTGCTGCTGCTCTGCTTCTTTCTTGAGACAACTGAGGACCATCACGCCACTGCTGCTGCTGCTGCTGCTGCTCGTGCTGCAGCTCTTCTGCTGCTGCTCTGACCAGGCAAAGAAAAGCTAGCCAGGCAGCACAGCCAAGGGAGCAGGGCCCCGGGGCCCCCGGGGCCCCCGGGGCCCCCCCGGCCCCCGAGGCCCCCGGGGGCCCCCCGGCCCCAGGGGCCCCCGGGGCCCGCGGGGGCCCCCAGGCTTCTGTCTCCGCTGGAGATACAGCCCAGCAAGCAGGAGAGACCCATGCATGCAGAGGCAGCGCAGCAGCAGCAAACTTGAGGCTCGTCATGAAGCAGCAAGCTTCCACCATCCAAGCCCGGAAACTGCTGCTGCTGCTGCTGCTGCTGCTGCTGTTGCTGCTGCTGTTGCTGCTGCTTGTTGTCGGGTTGAATGAAGGGTCTATAGAGTAGGTAGGGCCAGCTGGTGAGGCTGTTGCTGCAGCAGCAACAGCTGCTGCTGCTGCTGCTGCATTCCCTGCTGCAGCAAGAGAAGCAATAAGGTTCATGCTGCTCTCGTACAGAAAGCTGCAGATACACCGCAGCAGAGTTTGTCTTTGCTGCAGCGCCGCAAGAGCTGCTGTTCCGCATGCAACAGGCCGCAGCTGCAGCAGCGGCAGCCCCGTTGCTGCTGCTGCTGCTGCTGTTGTTGCTGCTGCTGTTGCTGCTGTATCCGCCGCGCCCAAAGCAGCAGCAGCAGCAGCAGCAGCAGCAGAGACGCGCAGCACGGGGGGGCCGTCAAAGACAGAGACAGCAGGGAGAGGAGACAGCAGCAGCAGCGGCCGCAGCAGCAGCAAACATTCAATGGAGTGTATCTGCAGCTCTTCAGATAAAGGGGCTTCTCTCTTGCTGCTGCTGCTGCTGCTGCTGCTGCTGCTGCTGATGATGAGGGAGTTTATGTTTTTTGCTGTTTCTTCGTCTCCTTTGAACGATAGCCGCTGCGCTGCTGCTGCTGCTGCTGTTGTTGCTGCTGCTGCTGCTGCTGCGGGGACGCCGCAGCTCGACGACAGCAGCAGCACTGCAGCAGCAACAGAACGTACACCCCGAGCAGCATATGCTGCAGCAGCAGCAAATGCATGCAGAGGCCCTTCACAAAGACACCTGGAATCGAGAGTAACCTGCTGCGGCTTCTCTGCTGCACTTGCTGCTGCTGCTGCTGCTGCTGCAGTTGCTGCAGTTGCTGCTGTTC